CCTATTCTTTCATAATATATCTTTTAGTAGAAAGAATATTTAGAAATGAAATACTAGGTCTTTGTTACCTTGCTTAAAGTTTAGTTTCCTCATCTGTAGAATGGGATAATAATAGCACTACCACATAAGGTTGTTGTGAGGATAGCATGAATCAAAACATGTGAAGCAAGAATTCCATAAATGTACCAGGCCAGTGTGGCTCAGTGGTTGAGCGTCAACCATGAACCAAGAGGTCACCAGTTCCCTATCAGGGCACATGCTCTGGCTGTGGGCTCTGTAGGGGGCATGTAGGAGGCAGCCAATCAATGTTTCTATTTTACTATCTCTCTCCCTTCCTCTCTCTTTAATATCAATAAAAACATTAAAAAAGAGAAATTTATAAATGTTAGTTACTATCATTATCATTATCATTAATATTATTCTATGATAGAAATAGGTTTTTTGTAGAACACATCTTTATAGACTAATTGAGCATGTGCTTATTTGCCTTATTGCAGTAATGATGGATAAATTGGAGACCAGAAAGATAAAAGGTTTTCTCTAAAGTAATAAATCCTGAATACTTCACCTCTTCTATTAATTATCACGAACTTCTAGAAAAATAGTATGGCTAACCAATTTCAACATAATGCAAATGTTCCTGACTATTCTTTTGAAAATGCATTTTGAGTTTTTTGTTTTGGATACGAGAAAATTTATCAGACAATTTAAAAATGCTGTCTTCCATAATTTCTTAAGATTTCCCATTTAATAGTGTAAAATATTTGATATTTATAAACTACCACTAAGTTATTTATACAGAATTGCATCACCACAGGCCAAGTTGCACACTGTTGACATAACTCTAATATCTTTTTTGTTTGTTCTGCTTTTTAGCTGTGTCTGTCAGGTCATCATAAAGGCCAACTCTTCTTTAGCACCCACTGAATTGATTAGCAGGATTAAAAGTAAAATACATGGCAACCTCATGCATGGAAACTTCACACAAGATCAATTGACGTTATTAGTAAAGTCTGAACATGTTGCAGTGAAAAAACTAGGTAATTTGGGTGGGGGTATTCCATATGAAATCACTGTCCTTCTTATAAAGCTCATAATGCATGCATAGTAAGACATCCTGAATTCAGAAGGGAGAGAAGTGATATTCATGTTCATTTCCACATCCTTTGTACCAACTTGCTCTGACAACCTTTCTATCTATCTATCTATCTATCTATCTATCTATCTATCTATCTATATCTATCATACTTAATTCTTTGTATCAGGCTTCTACAGAGAAACAGAATCAATAGGACATCTATCTATCTATCTATCTATCTATCAAGCCAGGGGGGTTAAGAGAGACTTTTGGTCAGCTCTGGATTTCAGCAGTAGCCAGTTCATCGATGATGTGGAATGATTGTCTCTCTTGCATAAATACCCAGAGACCTGGAGAGCTTCATTACACATAATAGCTGCCTAATAGATACTTGCTTTATTGATTGATTTAGCCAGCCTATTCATCTTGGAAAGTGATTTGGGAACAGTCCAGAATTTCTCTCATGGTCATTTTCTTTTTTGATTAGCAAGGCTTTAATGGTAAAAGAGAAAGACTATCAGGCCACGCCATCCGATGGCAGCTTTCTTCGTTTTCCCTAATAGACTGGGGTAAAAATATTGAGCTAACCCAAATAACACACATAGGCATTAGAACACACAATCCTTGGCAACAAACTAACTGGGTGGTGGAGGGCATGCTTCTATTGAGAATGAGAGTGAGATGAAAGGCAGAGCAGTATTGAAGCCACAAGCAGAGCCACCATGCAAATGATGCTAATGAATGTGTCTGGAGAATGAGGGTAAGGCCTTTTATTCTCACTCAGAGAGGAGATGGGGATGGCTGGGCAAAGCTGGCTGGGCCACTCTGTCAACACCTGAGGGAAAGATTTTTGGGATCAGGGTTATAAACCCAATGAGTCGTCAGTAAAAACTGGGAACTTATTACATAAACATAGTCCCAGTCATATCTCCCTTAAGGTGACAGCACTTGGCAGCAAAACTTTGCCATTAGCACCAACATCAGAACAGGCTTCCATCTGTATTGATGATGATGGATATATTGAGTTTACTGGAACCAAATCTACGCTAGATAGAGTCCATTAAGAAGCAAGGAGCTGTCCAGAAATATAAGCCAGCCTATCATTGCACCTCACACTATTAACAGTGGGTACCTGAAAAGGAGGGCAATTGGCAGGTGGGGACTTTTGATTTTTCACTCTACGCCTCTCTGTGTGGCTTAAATTTTTTTCAAGGCACATGTATCATTTTTAAAAACAAAAACTAAAAACCTGCTCTGTCAACTTGTAGTTTTAATGAAAAGGACTAAATGTGAGAGTGTATTGGGAGGCTTATATTTTAAGTAAAGAACCCATTTAATGCTATTTTCAGTGAATCCTGCTTTAAATGGCCTGCCTAAAAGAAAAGTTTCCTTTTTATTTGCTGACGTTTGTGCACAAGATAATAATGATGGGTCATAATGGATGTTCGTGATACTTTTAAGTGCCTTTTGCCCTTTAAAATGTGCATACATTTTCTCTGTAGAGCCAGGAAAGTGCAAAGCCGAAGAGACAACCTCTAAATACAAAGGGACATATAAGTGGCTCTTAACCGACCCTACTGATACAGCCCAAACTAGATGCATAAAAAATAAGGCTGGAAACGCTACTAGAATCTGGTATGTATTGGCCAAGTTCTAAATGCTAGTTCAAATGCACAAAGATCTGCTAATTAGGGGCGTGTTTCTATGTCATTTGCCTGAGCTCCTTCTCTCCCCCTTTACTGCCAATCTTTCTTTCTTTCTTTCTTTCTTTCTTTCTTTCTTTCTTTCTTTCTTTCTTTCTTTCTTTCTTTCTTTCTTTCTTTCTTTCTTGCCTATTTAAGAATATAATGCTACATAATAACATTCAAAAAAAATTTTCAAGAAGACAAAAGAGAACCTGCAACCCAGATACATGCCCTTAACCGGAATTGAACCCAACACCCTTTGGTGCATGGGCCGATGCTCTAACCACTGAGAACACCGACCAGAGCAAAAATTCCATTATTGATATGAGGACTGATTATCATTACATAAAACTTAAATAAATGTCACTCAAAATCCCATCACCTGAACACAGCTGTTTTTAGGTAAGTATATTTTTTCATTTGGCTTTTGCTGCATTTTTTTAAGTTTTATGTAGTGATAATCAATCCTCATATCAATAATGGAATTTTTGCTCTGGTCGGTGTTCTCAGTGGTTAGAGCATCGGCCCATGCACCAAAGAGTGTTGGGTTCAATTTCGGTTAAGGGCATGTATTTGGGTTGCAGATTCAATCACTGGCCCCAGTTGGGGCCTGTGCAGGAAGCAACCAATCTCTCTCTCTCTCTCTCTCACTCTCTCTCTCCACCCCTTTCCTCCATCCCTCTAATCTCTCTAATAAATCAATGGAAAAAATATTCTTGGGTGAGTATTAACAAAACAAAAAAATAATAATGGAATTTCTGCTTTCACTCAATGGCTTATCAATATTTGCCATGTTTTACAGTCATCTTTCATTTTTTTCAAAATATGTAGGTTGTGTGTGTGTGTGTGTGTGTGTGTGTGTGTTTGACAGCCATCCTCTTAATGACCATTTTGAAAAACTGCCTCAGAAACTAACTCGTTGATGGGCCATAATAATTTACTAAACCACTCTTCTATTGTAGACCTTATAATTTTCCTTCTTAAAATCGTCAGCCCCTCTTCTATTACTCTCTGCTGTTAATGGTTTATGCATTAAGTGGACATAGCAAAGGAGCAGCCAGTTTTGACAGAAGCTTTAAAAGCTCTCCTTTGGAGGGCAACATCTTGAATTGTAGTCTATCTCTTACTCCCTACATCTAATCAGTCAGCAAATCATGCAGCTTTTTAAAAAGTTCAAATTCAGAACTCACATCTAGCCTTTCCTTTACAACCACACAGCCACTACCCTGGTGCAGGACCTTAATATATCTTGCCCACTATTAGAGCAGTTTCCTTATTTTCTAATTGCCCATTACCCACCAGCTATACTCCATACTGCTGTCAGTGTGATTTTTCCTAAAGTATGGTTGCCATCATGCCACCTTCTTACTCTGGTTTCACATTGCCTCAAGAATTAAGTCCAAACCCGCAGGCTCCCTTCTTTAATGGATTCCAGCCAAAAAGGGCCATTTGCCATTGTGAACTCAATAGGTGTTTCCTCATGTCTTTTTTTTGTTTGTTTCTTTTGCTTATGCCATTTGCTCTGTTACTGCTGCTGGTGGTGGGGCTTTTTCCAACTCTGTACTTTCAGCACCAGTTTAGCTCAAAAGTTGCAAGTAAGTTTTCCTTGCTTGGTGGTTTGATACATTCAATTTTGTTTATATTGCTGTTCTTATCCCATCTTGCCTATTAAATGTAGTTACATTTACAGTCTTAAACCACCAAGTTACAAGCTCCTTGAGGGAGGAGACCTTGCCCTGTTTGTCTTCACTACCTGCTACCAGTCCTAGAACACAGTAGGTGCTCAATAAATGTGTTAGTTAACTTGAATTGAAGTGGTTTGAATTGGATGAAGCATAGTGGAGGGTATACCATGAGGGTCAATGAGATACAGAGGTTGCTATACTAGTTGCCTTGAGTAAATTAATATGCTAAGATAGAGACCACATTCTAACAGAAAAGGGTTTAAGAAGGGAAAATGAGGGTAAGGAGACCTGTCTAGAAGGGCAAATTCTCTGCCTTGACTCTTGGTTCACTTGACATTGCCATGCCACATTGCAGGCTTTCTTGCCTGCTTATATTTCCTTTCTAAGAGCAAAATTTTCTTCACTTTACAAACACTGGGCTTCCTCCTTTGCTGTCTCATCCAGGAGGCTGAAAGTGGGCAAAGAGGGGAGGTATGCCAAAGATAAACCCCAATCCTTCACCATTTGCTTTAAGACTATTCTGGCCTCATCTTCCAATGAGATAATTCTTGTTCCTCCCTCCTCTTTTTTTCAGCTCAATCAGTATGGATACTGGCAAATCTCAGTGGGAAAAACCAAAGTTTAAACAATGCCAATTGCTGCAAGACCTTCCTGATAAGATTGTGGATCTTGCTAATATTACTATCAGTGATGGTAAGACTGTTCTGTATACAGAGAAGAAATAATGGAACCTCAGTTAGTCTACTTGACCTGAGATCAGAAAGAGAACAGGGAAACCTCACATAGGAAAATCTACCTTACAAAAATCTAGTCTCAGAAATTAGGTAGTCCATGTTGGTTCAGGTAAGAGTGGAGCACAACAAGCTAAGACTATCAGTGCTTTTTGTTTTATAATTTTTATTTTATTTTAAAAATTTGGCTAATTATTATTTTTAATTTTATTTAAAAACATTTGAATAGATAATACTTCACATAGTTTACTATTGAAAAAACACACAAAAATACAGTGAAATATCTCCTTTCCAGAGCCATTCAGTTAATATCCACAGAGATATCTTATGAATCTATAAGGAAATTTATATATGTGTATGTATATGTACCACACGATACATACATGTATATTATCCCTCCCCTTTGTACAAAAAGTGGAGCATGCATACATGCTGCTCTGAACCTTGCTTTTTTCTCTTAACAATATATTGAAAAAATTATCATATTAGTATATGAAGAGCTTTCTCACTCTTTTTTCCACGGCATTGGACTATACTGCATATATTAACATGTTTCCAATTGGATGGGCATTTAAGTTGTTAATAACATTTTGTTTTTTTAAACCTGCTGTAATGGATATCATTTATATGTCATTTTGTATAAATTCGGTATTATTGAAGCATAAATTCCTAAAAGTAGAATTGCTGGGTCAATCATACTTTTGATGGTGTCAAAATGCTCTCTGTAATAGTTGCATCAATTTATACTCCCACTTGCAAGGCATGAAAGTGCCTGTTTCAGAATCCTTTCATCAACACAGCATGGTATCAGACTTTTGTATCTTTGGTGATTTGATAAGCAGAAATTGATATACCGATGTACTTTAAAAATTTTTATGGAGACACTCAAATATAATAAAATTCACCTATTTAATGTGTACAATTCTGTGGTTTTTAGTATATTCTCTAGATTGTGCAATCATGGCTACTAATTCCAAAACATTTGAATCACTCCAAAAAGAAACTTCCATACACATTAGCAGTCACTCTTTATTTCCCTTTCCTTTCAACCCCTGAAAACTTATAATCAACTTTGTTTCTTGCTTAATTTTATTTCATTTTTTGTAGTAACAACACATAACATGAGATCTACCCCTTTTGTTAAATTTTAAGTGTATAATACAAGACTATTGGCTATAATAGGTACAATGTTGTATAACAGATCTTTAGAACTTATTCATCTTGTTTAACTGAAATTTTATGCCTATTGATTAGGAACTCCCCATTTCTTCTTCCCTCAACCCCTGACAACCACCATTCTACCCTGTGCTTCTGTGAGTGCAACTATTTTTTAGATTTCACATAAAGTGAGATTATGCAGTGTCTGTCTTTCTGTGTCTGGCTTATTACACTTAGCATAATAGTCTCAAGATCCATTCATGTTGTTGCAAATGGCAAGATTTTCTGTTTTGTGGCTGAATAATGTTCCATTATATATACATCACATTTTTTCTTTTTTCTTTTTAAAAATATGTTTTTAATGGTTTTTTTTTAGAGAGAGAGAAACATCGATGTGAGAGTTAAAAATTGGTTGCCTCCCATACACACCCCAACTAGGAACTGAACTCACAACCTGGGCATGTTGCCTCCCCAGGAATCGAATTGGTGACCTTTGAGTGTATTGGAGGATGCTCAACCAACTGAGCCACATTGGGCAGGGCTACCCATTTATTTCTTGATGTACACTTAGGTTGTTTTTATATCGTGACTATTGTGAATATTTATATACTTATTTTAATTCTCACCCGAGGATATGTTTTTATTGATTTTAGAGAGAAAGAAAAGGAGAAGGAGAGAGCGAGAGAAACATCAATGTGAGAAACATTGATTAGTTGCCTCCTGTATGCTCCCTGACTGGGGGGTCAAACCCACAACCTGGGTATGTGCACTGACCAGGAATTGAACCTGAGACTCCAACCAACTGGGCCACACTTGTCAGGCACAGATATCTCTTTAATATAGTGATTTGATTTAGTTTCCTTTAGATATATACCCACAAGTGGGATTGCTGGATCATAGGATAGTCTATTTTTAATTTTTTTAGGAAATTCCATACTGTTTTTCATAATGGCTGTACCAATTTACATTCCCAACAACAGTGTATAAGGGTTCCCTTTCCTCCACGCCCTGGCTAACACTTATCCTTTGATAGAAACAATAGCCATTCTGGAAGTTATGAAGTGATATCTCATTGTGGTTTTGATTTGCATCTCCTTGATGATTACTGATGTTGAGCACCTTTTCATATACCTGTTGGCCTTTTATATGTCTTCTGAGAAATGTCTGTCCAAGTCCTTAGCCCATTTTGATCAGTTATTTGTTTTTGCTATTGAGTTTTAGTTTTTGTATAGTTTGGAGATTAACTTGTTATCAGATATATGTATGGTTTGCAAATATTGTATCCCATTGTGTATGTTGACTTTCCACTCTGTTGATTGTTTCTTTTGCTGTCAGAAGCTTCTTTTTATGTTATCCCAGTTGTTTATTTTTGTTGTTGCTGCTGTGCTTTTCATTACATATAATAAATATCAATGTCATGAGCTTTTGACTTATGTTTTCTTCAAGAAGGTTTAGAGTTTCAGATCTTACATTTGAGTCTTAAATCCATTTTGAATTGATTTTTGTGTATAGTGTAATATAAGGGTCAATATCATTGTTTTGCCTGTGGATATCCAGTTTTCTCAACACCATTTGTTGAAGAGACTATCCTTTTCCCATAGTGTATTTTTGGCACCCATGTGGAAGATCAATTGATGGTATATGGGTGGATTTATTTCTAAGCTCTCTATTCTGTTTCTTTCTTTCTTTCTTTTTTTACTGTAGTCTTTTATTTTTACTTTTAACTTCTTTATTGATTAAGGTATTACATATGTGTCCTTATCCCCCCATTACCCCATTCATGCCCTAACCCCCCTGTTGTCTGTGTCCATTGGTTAGGCTAATATGCCTGCATACAAGTCTTTTGGTTGATGTCTCCCCCTTACCCCCACACTCCCCTACTCTGAGGTTTGAGATTCTTTTTTTTTAAATTAAATCTTTATTGTTCAGATTATTACATTAGTTACTCTTTTTTCCTACCATAACTCACCTCCACCCAGTTCCCACCCCACCCTCCGCCCTCACTCCCCACCCACTGTCCTCATCCATAGGTGCACGATTATTGTCCAGTCTCTTCCCTCATCTCCACACCCCTTTCCTCCTGCCCAAGAATAGTCAGTCCATTCCCTTTCTATGTCCCTGC